TTTAGTTTAATTTATACATCCTTAAATGACTGGGCCAAGTTCTTTAAGGGCATTTATTCTGCTTCATATAAATAATTGATCAGCCAAGTTAATTTACTTCTGCCTGACTTGGTCACCCTTAATTAACTGCCCTGGAATAAAGACTGATTTTATTTGTTAGCTTGAAATCTTTCACAAATGTTAAAATAAAGGCTGCCTTTTGAAACAAATGTCGCACCAAAGATGGTCCTCAAAGAGATTGTTTCTGTACTGACAGTTCAACATTTATATGCTTGCTAATATTTTATTTATGCAGTTATTTATTTGATTTCTATAAATAAGGATCTTAAGCATACTTACAGGAAATAGTTGTTCATGAAATTCCACACATAGGAATCCTATGCCAGAAATAAGACTTAGGTGGCCCACTGGTCCATAACTGACCATGTTCTCTTCCCTTTGCTCTGTCAGTCAAGGCACTCCTGGACCAACAAAAACAATGTCATCAAGAACAGTATCAGTTTTGATGCTGATTTTATTCTTTTGCTGTCCAGAATATTTCTCATTATCGATAGTATTAATCATTTCTTTAATTCTTCTTTCCCATCAAGAGAGTTGTATTAGATTTAAACATAAGAAGTTTATCTCACTAGTTTATCTGATCCAGTGGTGTGATCACATGCTGTCAAATGCTTCGCATGCTAAGCTCATCAAAAGCTTAAAATGACATCAGGCCCTCCATGGTCATTCTTTGTTGCACCTCCTGTCCCAAGGAAAAGGTAGGGAGATGCTGGTTCACTAGGCATTTTTTTTCCCTTAGGCTGATTTTGACCTTCTGAAGAAAGGGGACTTAAGGCTAAGGACAAGCTAGCCTAGTATGAGCACTCAGCCCCAAATAAGGAAAGGATAGGTACCATACCCACCTTCATTATGGCCAAGCTTTCTGATATCTGTGAAGTCTCAACAACTTCACAGTTGTTTGAAGAAAGCCTTTTATCGACTATTTCTATAGCATCCAGCTGAAGCTCTCCTGGCAGTTTACGATAGTTGATCAAGTACAATACAATACAAAAATATGCATAACAGTAAACGCATGACAGTTCACTAAAATTTAAAATTCAGACTTTAATATCTCAGGTAACTAAGTTCATAGCACTAGACTTACTAGAAGCATAGAAAGTCTTTCAGAATGAGACCCATAAATACCTGTCAGGATGAGGCCTGTAAAGGATTCAGTTGCTTACATAGTTGTGAGAATGTTTTTTAAGGTCCCCTCAGGGGCCCAAGTCAGGGGGCATCTGATTCATATGCTAAAAGTTGGCCCATTTACAGCCATGGCAGCTGTGTTCTACATCACACACAATGGGGACAGAGCTTAATGCCAGTAGTGAGTGGGTAGGATTAAAAAAAAAAAAAAAAAAAAAGCATGCATGAACTAAGCAATTTAAACAGCAGCCCCTGCTCACAATGCCTGTCATGACTAAATTGCAGGGTGGCATGAATGAAACTTGCTGCTGATGTAGTCTCCCACATAAATCATATTTTATAAATGTCTCAGTATGAGATATATGTTATACAAGCCAGTCTTTTTATGGTTGAACAATACCACTTCCACTTCCATTTTTGTTTGTATCCTGATGGGTGGTGTGCTAGGATTGTCTGCATAAATGACACTCACCTTTAAACTTCATTTATTATCCAAACTTTTTTTTGTCTGAAGAATTGAGCAAGGAAGTCTTTTTCCAGTAGACTTTCATGAATAGGGTTGTAGCATGCACAATTTAAATTATATATTGAATAAATCAAACCATCCTCTTAAAATGAGGAGCCTTCCATAAAGGAGGAGATACATGCTGTGGATAGGAGCCAAAGGGGCATAAGGTTTCCAGTGCTGCACCCTCAGAAGGAGCCTATCAGTAATAAATCAGGTGAGGTGTGGTGTCTCTTATCTTTAGCAGCACTATGGAACATTTAAGTGTTGTGTAAATTACTCAATGTCCAGAACCATCTTAGTCAATTTTACAGTCTTTCTGGTGGGAGGTAGAGTAGAATAGGGTCAGAGGACTGTGAAAATATTAATATACTATTATATTAATATTAATATATAACATATATTAATATGTTAATAAACAATTTACAAAACAGTTGTTGTTTTATTTAGTCTATGTGGCTCATAAAGATGTAATAATTACCTTTACTTTCAAGGATCTGAAGTTTCCAGACTGTTTTCAAGGGCAGTCCTATGTAAAGTGCATTACAGTAGTCCAAATGTGAGGTTACCAGAGCATGCATTACCATTGCTAGGTTTTCCCCATCCAGATAGGGACTCAGCTGATATATCAGCCCCAACTGATCAAAGGTGTTCCTGGACACAAAGGTCACCTGGAGCTCCAGGGAACAACTTGGGGTCCAAGAGCACTCCCAAGCTCTGCACTCTGTTCTTAGGGGGAGTGCAACCTCATCCATCCAGGAGAGGGCAGACAACCTCCCTCTGGAATGAGGCTTACCTACCAATAGCACTTCTGCCTTGTCTGCCTTCAATTTTTATCTATCTATCTATCTATCTATCTATCTATCTATCCATCCATCCATCCATCCATCCATCCATCCATCCATCATATTAACCCTCATCCAGTCTACCCAGACACCAGTTCAGAGTCAACACCACCTCACCTGAGTCAGATGTAAATGAGAGATAGAGTTGGGTGTCATCAGCATACTAATGGCAGTTCTCTCCAAACCTCCAGATGACCTCTGGTGAATCATGTAGATGTTAAACATGGGGGATAGGATGGAACCCTGCAACACTTCGTAATGTAGTTGCCATGGAGTCAAAGTAATTGGCTGGTCAGGTCAGAGTGGAACCATTGCAGAGCGGTGCTTCCAACCCCCAACCCAACCAGCCTATCCAGAAGGATATCATTGTCAATGGTATTGAAAGCTACTGAGAGATCTGGGAGAACCAGCAGGGATCACACCCCCTGTCTTTCTCCCAGCAAAGGTCATTTCACAGGGCAACCAAGGCAGTTACCATCTCAAAACCAGGCCTGAAGCTGGACTGAAATGAATCCAGGTGGTCTGTTGCCTCCAAGTGTACCTGGAGCTGCCCAGCCACCAGCTGAACAAGCATCTTACTCAAAAAGGGAATGTTGGCCACAGGCCTGTAGCTGTTCATATCTTCGGGGTCTAGGCTTGCCTTTTTCAAGAGGGGTCTGATCACCTTCTCCTTTAACGGAGTTGGAATCAGCCTTTCCTTCCCAGAAGCATTCACCATCTCCTGGACCCAGGAATACATTCCCTCCTTGGCTTTGATGAGCAGCCACAAGGGGCAAGGGTTGAGAATACAGGGAATGGGTTGGACTTGTCTAGTCACTTTGTCCACATCATGAGGCTTCAATAACTGAAAATTATCCAATAAAATAGGACTAGATGGTGCTCTGGATGCCTTCGTTAAAGGAACTACATTAAATGTGAAGTCTAATTCGTGCCGAACCTGAGCAACTTTATCCTTGAAGTTCTGTGCAGACTCATCGCAGTGGGCCACTGAGGGTTCTTCCTGATCCTCTTTAGGGCCCACATGTCAAAGGCCACAATAGCTCTGCCAGACATCACTGAGAGGACGCGATGCTGACGAAGAGGAAAGCTCTCTTTGCCACCTTCACAACCGCAGAGTAGGCTTGATAGTGAGTTTTTGCCCATGTTTGGTCAGATTTGGCCTGGGGTTTGTTCCACTTGTGCTCTAGCCATCTTCCCAAGCTAGTTAGTCATTATGGACTAACTAGCTATAATTTCAGCTGCAGATCTCTACTAGCTTGCATATATTTGAATTATTAATTTGTTGCAGTTTATAATTTGGCCCTGACACATTCATAGAGCAACATTAAATTCCTTTCCTTTCCGTTAAGAGAGGATTTCCTTTGCTTATGCTTCCTCAGAAACTAAATAACTCATAAAAGTATGATTTTTTTCCCTGTAGATTTATAAGCCGCCTTGTATGTACAGTGGCTTTCTAGTAGTAGTGTTTTGTGCCTTTGTGGAGCCTGGGGACCCCAAAGACATGAGTTCGATAAGAAGAGGCCTTAAAGCACATGAGTTGTACTTTAAATGTAAAAGCAGAAGGCAGTATACATGGTAAATATCAGTATTGGTACTGGCGGATTCCTCAATTATTTGAATGGGTTATTTATTCCAGTACTGGGTGTGGGGGTCATTACTCATTAGGAAAAGCCAACACTGTGATTCATCAGCTCATTGATATCTTCCATTTCAGGAACTAGTGTGTTGTTAATATAGGAAGGTGCTGAGCCTAAGCTACTTGTGTGGCCCAGAGCTTGCTAGTTTCCTATGCTGGTAGCATAATGCAATAAGTGAGCCTAAAAAACCTTCCCAGCCTTGATAGTGAATAAAAGCCTGTGGCTCAGTATTACAGTGGAGGTAGGACATAGCCTCTATTCAGTTGATGCTCAACTTGATTACTGTTAGCTTCAGGAACATTTATTTATTTGATTTATAAAACAGCACACAATAGTCCAAAAGAGTCCATTGCCCCAGTTTAGTTAGTATAGCATTTGAGATTTTGCCATACTGGAGAATAATTTCCATCTGAATATTTTTCAGGTTTGCTTCCAAAGCAAGTGCTAGCCTACCTGTTGTTGTTTTGTTTTTCTTTTTTAATTCTGCCCACAATGTATTACATAGAGTATCTTGCAAGGTTCAAATAAATTACTTTTATAAAATTAAAGAAATGTAGTGTGTGTGTGTCTGTGTGTGCGCGTGCCTAATCATTCTTAGGGAAAATGTTTCTATATTTAGAACAAAAATTTACTTCCACAAATATAAAGCTGTACCTGCACATAAACATAAACTGATAGCATCAAGTATTAATGAAAATATAAATTGTATGAAAAGGACAAAAATTTACAACTGTGACAAGCTTTAAAGCAAAAGATATATCCTTATATACAGTAAATATTTTAACAGCTGATTTATTTTCTTTCTCTTCCTTACTTGAATTATTCTAGGTTTTTGAGTCATGATGCAAGAATCTGGGACTGAGACAAAAAGTAACGGTTCAGCCATTCAGAATGGAGCAAGTGCTGGTAACCACTTACTAGAGTGTAGCCTACGGGAAGTGAGATCAAACGGAGAGACACCTTCAGTAGAAATTGGAGCTACTGATCTAGCTCATCTTCAGCAGCAGCAGGTAATTTAAACTATAACTTTGCTGTAATAAAGATATTATGCTACAACTTGAGGTGTTGTGGGAGAGAGAAGTACAGAACATTGACCCATGTTAAATCACTATAGGATTTTTCAAGCAAATAAGTATTTGAGAGAATACCTGTGGAATCTATGTATATAATTCTTTGTGTTTTGTGTTCTGTGAGTGTAAATTTCAAATGAAAAGAGAAAATTGTATGTATCACATGGAAATTACTTTTAATACACTTATCAGAAAGATGAAGAGTAGGATGCAACAGTTTCCGTCAGTGGAACTGGGAGGGGCCATTCTTCCTTTTCACAGCAGCTGTCCCAGTACAAGTCAGGTACATTTTCAGAACCCCCTTTAGAGGAAAAGGAAGCCATCTGGACTAGATATATAGATGACGCAGAGAAGAGAGGAGAGGAAGATTGGCTTGTAATGACCTTGGATCTAACATCTTGGGATCATAGCCTGATTCTGCTGACTGCATTTCCCCAGAGAGGTGTGCCTGGCACTGTCACTTTAGTCATTTTGCCACTAGGCCAGAAGCTTTTTATTTTCCAAATATTTTAAGATCTGATGTTTTCAAATGGGTTTTCATTTGCTGTTTGCTGTTGTGCTTATTGTTGCATGCCATCCTGATACCCCGGTGAACGACAGGATAGAAATGATTTTAATAAAATCAATCAGTATTATATGAGAATGTTTTCTTTTCACAACAAAACAAATTGTGATCAAGCTGGCAACAACTTATCTCAACAAATATTTTAAAATATGTTTATAGCCCAATCCTATGCCCACTCAGAAGTTAGTTACATGGCATTCAGTGGATAACATTGCTAGGTACATGTGTACAGGATTGCAGGATCAGGTAGGAGAACTATCTTGGATGTATCTGTAGTATTGGAACTGCGAATGGATGCATGTGAATATAATATTTGCTCTTTGAAAAAATGAGATTCATAATTCTTTTTTTAATCTGTAGATTGTAAGTAGGAAAAAAGGGTGACTTGTGAGAGTTTATGAGTATATTTATGACTAAAACATTTTTCTAATTTAATGCTGAAAGTATCCTTGAAGTCTTTTAAATAAGCTTTTGGCAGCTGTGTAAAATTTTTTTAGTGTGCATGATGATCTTGTCAGCAGGTTGTTGTACAACAGAAAAAAATAGGAGTTGAGGAAATATTGCAAGGAGCCAAATTCACTTTTTTTTTTCTTGGAAAAGTGCACGCAACATAAATCAACCACAGTTTAGCATTTTAAGATTTGCATGATGCTAAATGCAGTAGACAATTATTTCAGCCATTTTCTTCCTATAAGTTTCTTATTTGAAGTGAGAACACAATCAGTGAGAAAATCACAGCCATGCTGAATTCATTACTGCAGTAGTCACACAAAACCATGGATAAAATTTCAATAAGTGCAGGCCACAGTTGAGTAAACAGTTGCACTGAAACTTAATTCCTGTTGACTTTTCCCTCATTCTTTGCCAGGGGCACATTCTGAATTGTATTGCAAAGACAACGAGGTTACAGCTTTGATTAATATAGGACAGTGGAAAAGAATTAGAACAGTAAAATATGTTGGAACAACTCAGAACACAAAAGCCTTCTTTCTAAGAGGCTTTACATTAAAATAAACAGATTCCACTGTAGTGTATGATCTGAGCATTGTGCAGCTTTCCAGCCCTGTTTGCTTTTTACCCCATCCTTTTTTATTATTTTTGGCACAAGGGGGGATTTATTATTATTATTGGCATAAAGGAGATGAGCAGCACCCTACCTGTTAACAATACTGAGCCTTGCCATTTTTCTCTTTTCACCAAATATTAATCAGAATCAGGACTACCCACTTCTCTATAATCAGCCACCATAATCAACCAGAGGGGTCACTGTTGAGTGAAATAATATCTCAATCATAATCATACATGTGACATCTCTCATCACTCAGCAGCAGCCTATTTGGGTACTTAAGGAGAGGCTGCAGTGGATTCCAAAGAGAGAACAAAGTGCCCTAGAGCCCTTTTTCAGGGCATATGGAAGGGCAGGGTAGCTATATATGTTCCCTTCCATATGCCCTGAGAGCAAGAGGGAATTTCTATCACCCATGAATGTCATGAATGGAATTTACAGGAGTGGTTGTTAACTTTGTATCTAGTTATAATTGTTTCACCTTTGCTTCTCATAAAATCACCTTTCACTTACAGCTTTACTAGTGGGTCTCTATATTCTTTCCTTTTGATATGTCATAGCTTTTTCTTTTATGAAGCAGTTTGGCAGTTTAATAACATATTCATACTCGGTGTGTGTGTGTGTGTATGTTTTAAAGGCTAATAAACAATTCTCAAAACCTATATCACAGTGCATGGATTGTTATGGATTTCAGATTTTCTAGATACTTTTAAGTGCTGAAAAGAGGGGGGAAATGTTTTCAAACAGCTAAGGTAAGCATACAGCATACTGTTTAGTTCTTTCTCCCTATACAACATATACATTCAGGTCACTTCACAGAATGCTTGCTGTAAAATGCTGATTCAGTCAGTTTGAATGGCTGTTAAGGAAAACTGCTGTTTCCTGACAGCATTGCAATGTAAATTATTTTTGACAACTGTAGCTCATTGTCTGGTATGTCAGTAAATGGTGCTCTCTGCTTTGCTGCTCTGTGAAGTACATTGTTCTCCATGGGCCTTGATGGGCCTTGTGTGGTTGTTTCTATGGGACCTGTGCTTGCATAAAAGCAGCTTCAGAAACTTCTAGTGCATTAGTCAAAGAACCAGTGCTCATCTGTTGCTCCCTGAAGTAGAAAGTACAAACACCTCAAAGCATGGTGAACACTCAGTTGTCTTTTTAACAACAACTTGTTGCTGTGATTTTCCTCTATAATTGACTCAATATTCATCTTATTTCATATGGAAAGTAAGGACTGTTCTGTTTCACTGGGCTTTAAATGCTGTATAATGTTTTACATCATGTATTAAATTCAGTGCTGCTCTCAGATTTTATTGTATTCTATGGTGTTTTTCTGCATTTCCTGATTTTATGATAATTTTTTAATGATACTTCTATTACATGGTGCCCAAGCAACTGGTAGGCAGAGTCTACATTTAAAAATTTAATAAAAAAATAGCTTGCCAAGATCAAACTTCTAAGCTTCCTAATTTCGAATGCATGCACATTATCCCAAAAAAATCAAAAAGAAAAAATATTCTGAAGGCACAAATGTGTACAGCTTTGTTATGTTGCAGCACTGTCTTCCATAAATATGAATAAATCTGAATTTCACAATGTGGACAGGCTATAAAGTGTACCATCCAGATTCCTGCAAAAGCAGACTGACTTAATTGAGGCAACACACCAAACCATGGTTTCCAGTATACAGGGTTTGAAATGCTTCTCAGATTTCATTATCTCCTCAGCACTCTCAGTTCTTTGGCATTGCAGCAGAAACACAGAATGGTTTGTCAATTAAGACATTATACAAAAGCATAATTAGCAAAAAGTATTGTTTGCCATCTCACATCAAATTAAGCTTTCTGATTTTGGTTTACTGGTTGATCATAGCAACAGGTACAACTTGACAGGCAATGTATTCAGTGCTAATTTCAAGAAGTACCAGTAACTGATATACATAGCGGATGAAGTCAGTCTTATGTCATTAGATGTTCATTAATGTGAACAAAGAGAAACTTGTATTTTATACACCTTTGTAGCTGCTATTCATAAGAAAGTTCTGCATTCCAGTATTCCTTATACATGCAGGAGCATGTATACTTATTATGAACAATGGCTTTGGGAGAAGTGTACTACTTTATAAAAAGGAGATTATCTCAATTCATCTCCTGCTTTACTGTAGCCTGTCATGAAAAAAGTGGTTAAGAAAGGGAAAAAATCTTGAGGCTAGCACTTTCCCATGTCATTTTGCAACAACTGAGGTTTTTCCTATGGTCAAGTATTAATTTCTTTATCCTATCTTGTTGGGATTGTGCTTTTCTAGCGGGAATTTTCTGCCTCTCATTACTCAACCTTGCACAATGCAGTCTCTTCCAGATACTTTGGATCGCAAGTCCCATCATCCTTGATTATTGGTCATGTTTACTGGAGCTAATGGGGGTCGTGGTAGAAAACAACTAGAAGGTATTACATTGGGGAAGTCGCATTAGGCTGGCTAGGATGTTCATTTGATACTTCACCTTGGCTGTTCTTTGGCTGTAATGGCTGGTTAGCAAACCATGGGAAATTCAGCTAGGCCTTTCATTAGTTGTTCCAGAATCCTCTGTATGCCTTCTCTTTGGCAGTGCTGAGCTCATGATTTTGTTTCTCACTATGACTATCTTTTCCTTGCTCTTATCCTGTCTTGTGTTATTTTGTCAGTATCCTGAATCTTATTTGTTTGCATCCTAGAACCCCATTTTAGCTATCAGTTCCCTACATCTTTCTTTCTGTGGACTTCAAATTTGGAGATTAGCTGTGTTTTCCTGAGTATTGGCCCCAGTTTTTGTCAAATGAAGAAAACATTTTCACTCTGAACACATAACTTGCAAGTAACAAACTTTAATATAAAAAACAACAGAAGAGAGCAGAATAGCTATAGCATACAGTAGTGAAACAAAAAGGGAGCCAAACAACCTGAAGGGAGCACAAATCTTGAAGGACAGAGTTGTACCTCCTGGGCACTGCCCCAAATAAGACATCTCTCTCCATTCCCTCTAACCATGCCTCAGATTATGGCAGAACACATGAGAGCATTTCCTGTTGACCTAAGAGATTAGAAGGGATTGTACAGGAATAGACCAGTAGCTGCCAAAGGTAATATAAATTGGAACATTCAGTGTACCAGCTCTGCAGCTACATTTTGAGTCAGTTGAAGTTCTAGAATTCTTTTGTAGATCACATTACAATACTTCATTCTTGATGTAACTACATCTTGTATGACCATCATTTCCAGAAACTGAGAAACCATTTACCTGGTGCCCAGTACCAGGCACTAGGGTGTCCAGGAGG